TTTCAACTAATAGTTTTTATATTACATTATCAACTACTATTGATATATCTTTAATGACTAATGAATGTTATTTAATTTTTTTTTAACCTTTTAAATTCACACACAAAATTATCTTTTTTGGGTTAAAGTTTTAGTTTGCCTCTTAAAAATATTTCCTAGCTCCGCCACTGGTGTGGTGTCTTGTGTTCACAGGAAAAAGATTTTCTCCCTCTTTGGTTCTTTTTAGTTCTCCTAGTTCATCAATTTTATACAAAATTAACTTAATGATGTTGTATAACAGATAAATGACAATTGAAAAAAGAATTAATTTAAATGAAAATACTCAATTTATGCATGGGAAAAAATTTTCAATTATTAATCATTTTCCTATTTAAAATTTTCAATTAAAACAACTAAATTAAATAAGGGAATACATGTTTTCTTAAGGTATGTTTGGTTTGCCATTTCCCTCAAGCCAAACACACCCTTAATAAAATCTTACAACCCTAAATCTTACAATCTTAGGCACAATATTAATCAGTGGCGGAGCCAGGGGGGTGCGAGGGGAGGCGCTCGCCCCTCCTGAAATTTGAAAATCTTGCAAATTGATATATAAAAAATTATCTAGCTTCTCCTGAACTTTGAAAATTTTAGTATTTTGCCCCCCCTAAAAAATTTTTTGCCTCCGCCCCTGATATTAATCCTTTCAGTTTTTCATTCAACAAGACACTTGAATCTATATGCATTCACTCGACGTGTATATTGTAAGATTTCATTGTTTGCACTAAGTATGAATCAGCACAGTTTGAAAACTAAAAGCAAAAAACAAATTCTCGTAATGCCTTCCGTTTTCGATCAATTGCTGTGTGTATCTAATTGAGCTACCCGCTCTATGTCTGCTGTGAATGATTTTGCCTAAGAACTTTTTAACACTTTCGTTTGTTTTTTTTACAAACTCCTTAAGGAGTTATAACATATATTTTGTGTGTAGCATATGGCTTGTTAAGAGGCCACATGACTAGGTGTAATTTTCTTTTGTGTTGATGGTCCTAAATTCATGTCTATAAGCAGCTAACTACAAAAATTTTTATTGGTATAATTTACGGAACTTAATGGATGTGATGTAATATGCTTCATTTTTTTGGAATATGCTTGCTAGAGGATTATGTTCTTGTTGGTGATGTAATGATTAATGATGATTATGTCCTTCCTATGGTGAGTTCATGCGTTCCTTTGGTTCCTCGTTGATATTTTGAAGCTTGATCGTTACTCTTTTCCAAACTATTCTATTCAGTACTTTTGTTTTTTTTTTTTGGGCCAACTCTTTCAGATCCAGTTGGGTCTTTAATTGTATAACCTGCATTGCACAGAGCTTTTCACTGCACAAAAGGAGTGGGAAGAAATGTTACATGCTAGCTGCCAGGGACCTCACAATTACATGGGGTGATACTCCTCGTTATTGGAGTTGGAACTCAGTACCAGATTCCAGGTCTCTCCCGTCTCTCTCTTTCTCTCTTACACACACAGACACACATGAACACACCACACGGAAAATGCAGACAAAAGGCATGCATGACGCAGTTACACTCACACCCAACCAAAAGAATTCAAGCATTTAGTTGATTGCATTTAAGTGTCTTCACCAACTAAATGAATAAATATGTGAAGATTAATGTCTATAATTCATGCTTAATTACAAACAGGTTCCCTGAGGTTGCAGAGCTTCTTGCAGTTTGTTGGTTTGAAATCAATGGGATGATTAGTACTTGCAAGCTTTCTTCAATGACACATTATAAGGCATACCTTGTGTTCAAGCTGACAGCCACAGTTTATGGATTTGGAAATGAACCTATAGAAGCTGCTATTCAACTTAGTGGAACTGGAGATTTACAACGAACTGTGTTTCTGCATGCAGAAGGTGAAGATGTACAAAATGATTACCGATACCCAATAGAGAGGGAAGATGGTTGGTTAGAGCTAGAGTTGGGTGAATTCTTCAATGAAGGAGGTCAACATGGCAAATTGGAAATACGGATTTTTCGTTTCAATGGTCGCTGGAAGGGCGGTGTCATTATTGAAGGCATCGAAATCAGGCCAAATTAGCAGGACATGACAATATATTCTTCCACTCTTTGTATTTTGTGTGGTAAAACATTGCTCCTCGTGTTAAATTGCGATTATCATGCACTAGTTTTCATAAACATATGAGTTCTACTGTTATCTAGACGTGGTCTGTAAAATCTTTATTTAAACAATGCATGCCTAATCTATAAAGTTAATTACTAGTTTTGATTTGATTTAGGGAAGAGCACTTTTAGGATTTGCTAAAGTCCGTAAGAAGAGCATTTCAGTAATACTTGATCTTTTTGAATTCAGAACATAAGGTCAGTTCTACATTTGTCTAAATCAAATGTGAGGGGGCCTTTGATCCTGAGCATGGAAGCAGCTATTGGAGTTATTATGAGAGATACTAGGGGATTAGTGGTTCGAGGACAGGTACTATTATTATTCAATCTTCTTCTGCTCTTCTGATTGAAGCTTAAAATGTAGCTAGGATTGAAAAAGGCATAAAGAGAAAACCACACCAACATTACAGCAGAACATGCCATCACATCAATATAAATAGAATTTGAAGGAACTTTATTCATATCAATATTCAACTTGTACATGCCATCACATGCATAGCTTTTCCCAACAAATATACCATTTTTAGTCAGAACATAACGCCCAGATTTATAACCTCTTTGAAGTTAGCCTTACCAGGAAGAAATCCAAAAACTAATTTTTTTCGCATTTGAGGAGTGTAAAGCATATCTTTGAGAGTCAATGTTTTTCCAAGGTTAAAATTCAATTCCACCTCTTCTTGCCCAAGAACCTTGATTGTATGACCATCACTAAGTCTCACTTCTCTTTCAACATCATATTCAGAAAATGTTTTGAACCAATATCTGTCTTTATAGACATGCCTTCTAACACCAGAATCAATCCATCATCCTTCATCACAATTAAGAATGTTTATTTTAGATAACATCACCACAAAGGGCTTCTCAATTATGTTGACTTGTGGAGTAAGCCCACCTTTTCAGAATTGACAAACTTAACCAGTATGCCCAAGCTAGCCACACACAAAAAATGCATTACTATTTTGTTTTGAAGGAGGTTCTTGGTTCTTAAAATTTTGACTTGGTCTCCTAGTAGAATGTTTCCCACAATTCTTTTTCACAATTTTCTTTTTAGATCTCAATTGGGCATGATATTTAAAATTATTATTTTTGGGAAAGCTATCATTAGTGGCAACAAAGTTTACCTTTGATGTGTTACCTCCATTTGTAGTTTGAGCATCTTGATTCCTTACCTCCTCTTCAACTCAAATACGAGTTAAAAGATTTTCTATGGTGATCTCCTTTTACTTGTGACCCATCGTCTTTTGGAACTCTTTCCATGAAGGCGGTAGTTTGTCAATAATGGCTACAGCTTCAAGATTGTCATCAATTCGTATGCCTTTTGATTTGAACTCATGAGCAAGCATTTGTAACTCTCGAATTTGGGACACCACCAACTTGTCATCCACCATTTGGAAGCACAACTATCAGCTACCAGCATATGTCTTCGCACCAGCCTCCTCAATGTCATATTTTTTCTGCAAAGCATCTCGAGTTTCTTTGGTAATGGAGTAAGTTCTTTCATAGTAATCATAAAGCTCATTAGAAAGGCAATTAAATAAAGAGTTGTGGCAATCACATTCATCTTTCTCCCACTTTTGAACTTTCTTCTTATGAGATTTCTTTTCCTCAGTACTCAAATTTTTAGTTGACTTATTAATAGGATTTTCCTCATTGAGGACATATGCTAAGTTGAACAAGTTAAGATGGTACAAAACTTTTCCTTTCCATCTTTTGAAATGCACATCATTAAAATGAAAAGGCATGTTAAGATCATCAGTGAGCTAAATAGGTTTTTCACGAGGAAAACTCATTTTTTTTAAAAAATGTTTCGAAACGTCCTAAAATTATTGTTCCTCGTAAAATAATTAGGAAAAATAAAGTAGAAAAAAGATTAGTAAAAACAATTAATTAAAGATAAAAAGTAGAATGATGTCCTTGAAACTATGAGGAGTTTCAGTTGAGACGTGGATTAATGACTTTCTTTAAAACGTTTCATGTCATTGATGCAGTAGTTTCTTATAGTCACGCTACCTCCAAAATATAGCAACCCAACCTTTTCTTGTTGTATATTTATAAGTACTACACTCTTGTAAAAAAAGCTCTATCCCACTACCTTTTTCTTGTGATGAAAGTTTAAATACTATGTTTGTGGAATAAAAGTGCAGACTGTGAAAAATTGTGTCAGTCTATTGGTAGAAATGGAGGCTGCTTATTTATAGGCCTTGCGGTTAATGTAACCGAATAATATGAATTTATTTTGAATAGCTGAATAGTAGAACTGTTAACAAGCTTAAAACGTTTTGACGAAGCGGCTATGAATTTATTTTGGAATAGCTGAATAGTAGAACTTTTAGCATGTTATTTTAAAACGTTAAAATAGCTAAATATATATAATATAGCTGGTTCAAAAAAGTCGGATTTGTAACTGATAAGTTACTGCAGAAATTTAATTTTTGAAAGTAATGAATTTGTACCCAACTGGTGTTGCAAACTTTTTTGAAAAAATAAATGATGGTTTTGTAACCGATCAGCGTTGCAAACGGTTTACAATTTTTTTTTTTAATTAAAACCTATAACATCTATTTGGTTGCCCAAGAATTCAAGAATAATATATTAGGAAGCTGTGAGTTGTTAGTCATCACTTTCATCCAGAATATTTTTTCTAGTTGAAAGGTACGTAAACACTTATATACGAGATATAATTAATTATTTATTTTAAAAAATCATTTTTAGAAGAATATCTTAAAAGATTTGTTTTCAAAATATATAATCATTTACAATAAAAATAATTTATTATATTGCTTAAATGCTTATATAATTAATTGTCTTAATAATAAAATAAATTATATTGCAACTTTAAATTTTGTGTAAGGAAAATGAAAATCCTATTATAGTCGGACGGCTTTCAAATATTGGCTTCAACAATCCATTAAGATTGTACTAGAGGTTATGTTTGGGAAGCTAAATTTGTATTCGAGTGATATATATTAAATAGATGTGTTTAAAAAATATATAATTTTAAATACATATATTTTTAAATTTATTGTTTAGAGTAATATAATAAAATAAATTTAATATTCAAATTATTGATTAAGACATTTTTACCAATACTTCCAAGACAATCCCTTTGCAACTTGGTAACAAGCTCAAGCCAAATAACAACTTTCATTTCATCCCATCCACCAACAAACAAGAAGTAAAAATATTCCCAATACCGAAATCCAGCATCCCCTACTAATGGAACAAATATAAATCTCAAGAAAATTTCTAACCGACCGGCTACCATGTTCTTGATCCCAACCCCCACTCCCATCTACCATATTCTCTCTCAGCTACTCCTCACCCAATCAAGGGCACCCACATCTTCGTCTCCCTCTCCAACCACTCCTTCTTTATCATCTTCTCCACCTCCACCTTGCACTTTTCCTCCACCCTTTAGTGACTCTCCGTTGCAAACTTTCAACTATACTCACCCTTTTATCTACACTCAATGCTAGTCCATCCACATGTGTTTAATCTTCCATTGTCAAGACACTCTAGCTGCACGTGTTTGCTACTCTGCTTTGCTCAATATGCCTTAAGAGTTGCTTGCGGTAATGGCTGCTAATCATGTGGATTGTCGCCCACCCATTGCTGAAGAGGGAAATACTAGCTTGCTCAGCAAGAGATTCGGTTCCCAAACTTCATTGAAATTAAGAAGGTTGAAATACATAAATTTTTAAAAAAAATTAAAATATATGAATTTTAAAATAATAAAATGCACTAATTTAATTACATGTATTTAAATTAAATTCAATTACATACTTAATTTTATAAAAACAAATAATAATATTAAATTTAAAATAATTAAATACAAATACACTCTCAAAAATACATCCCAGACATACAAAGTACTCAATAAAAATGTTTTATGAATCATTTTTCTCCGTGTAAATACGCATGTGACACAGTGGGGTCCACGATGATGCC